GGGCGGCCCCAGTCAGGGCTGAGGAACAGCAGGGCTGCCCAGGCCCTGATGAAAAGCGGGCGCCAGGTGGCCGCCCCGGGACCCTAAGGGCGTGGGGCGGAGCCCTGGGATCGGCTTGGGAACCGCGGGGAGATCTGTGTGTTTCGGGTGCCAGGCAAGTGGGGTGCAAATAGCTATTAACCCATGAAGGCCACCCGGTACTCCAGGGCTGAGGGCTCCTCCGCGGGCCTCTCCCGTCCAGCCTCCCCTCAGGGGGAGAGGCAGAGGGCAGAGGTATGAAGAAGCCGCAGCCAGCCACTCTTTCTTTGTCCTCCTGTCTCCCGGATAGTGTCTGCTGCCCACTCTTGGTGGCCCCCAAAGACCACCCCATTCCTCCGCTGACCCCAGAAGCTGCCAGGTGTTTGTGGAGGGAGAGGTCGTCCTCCTGAGGACAGATGGCCATCTTCGGGAGCCATGTCCTTGTAAAAGTATTTTCCAAATTGTGCTGTGATCTCCATAGCTCCCACATTCCCAGCACCCAGTGGCACCATGGCTTCTGTGGGAATACAGCATCACACTTCTGTGGGAGCAGGACCCACACCAGGGTTTCTAAAGATCCCAGGTGCTGGGCGGCCAAAACAGCTCAGGCTTTAAATTTTGCACCCCACACAAACTCTTAATGTGAAATTAGTGGCCTGGGGTTGGATTAGAATGTTGGTTCCGGCCCAGGCACCTGAGTGGAGCTGAGAGTCTGCTGTTCTTTTTCTTTGGTTGTTTGCTTTTTTGTTGTTTTGGTAGTAGCATTTGAATATATGACCTTCACACTGAACTATATCTCCAGTCCTTTTTATTGTTCTTACTTTTTGAGACAAGTTCTCACTAAATCACTAAATTGACTAAGCTGGGCTCCAACATATCATTCTCCTGCCTCAGCCTCCCAGAATGCTGGGATTATAGGCATGTGGCCCATTTCCAGCTGAGTCTAACAGGTGCCAGGAGGGGGAACACCCCTGGAGTTGTTAGGATCTAGGCCCACAAAGCCTGTCTTCTCAAAGGACCCTTGGATCGCTGCCCAAAGCTGGCTCCATGCCAGGTGGGGAGGGGGCTTGGTCAGCAAGGTGGGAGGGGAGGAGGTTCCCAGAGCAAGGCAGGTGGAGGTGAGATGCCGTTGTAGAACATTTAGGGGCTTTTCGTCTGGCCCCAGCTGCTGGTGTCCGTTGAGTTGGGGTGAAGAGGTGGGAAACTCCCCTTGGAATCCCCATGTGGGGCCAACTGACATTCTCAGCCATTGCCTTGGGGCTCCTCAGAAATAGCCACAGTATCAACCACCTGAAGGCCACTAGAAATATGGGTTCCCAGAGACTAAGGATGCAGAGACTCTGGGAGTGCCTGGGTTGTGCTGGGAATCATCTCTGGTCCAGAGCTGGCTGCAACAGTATCACCTCTTCCAAGGCAGATGACACAGCCCCACTCCAGGCCTTTGGAGCCTCAGGGCCAAGCTGGGGAATCTGTTTCTCATAAGGTCCCAGAGAAGGTGGGACAGTGACTTCTCCCGCCCACTCTGCTCCTCTCAGGCCCGAGGGCCTGGGAAGCTGAGCTATAAGGCACTGCCCCATCTCTGATTCCTGCTGCTCAGACCCAGAACAACCCTGGGCTGGCAGGGGCTGCAGGGTTAGGTACCCATCGGCCTTGGGATGACCTTAGGGGATAGCATGTGGCATTAGCAGGCCTGACTGAAAAGGTGGCCAGATGGCTTTGGGCGAGGGGGGCGTCCTCTCTGTCCTGTCTCCACATCTGTAAAGTGGGATCGTACCCCCAACTACCACCTGGTAGGGAGGCGGCAAGGACTGGAGAAAACACATCTGAAGCAGTCTCTAGAAACATGGTCCTGGTGACCTTGACTCAGGGCCACCAGCAGAAGGGCCTGAGATCCAGGGAACCCCCGTGGGCCAGCACACTGGACATGAGCCTCAAGTTCAACCCACGATTGCACTGAGGGGTATCTGTCTTTACAGCAGAACTATATGCTGTAGGATGTGAATCAAATATTTTTCCCTAGTACTGGGGATTAAACCCAGGGCCTTCTCACTGAGCTACACCCCAGCCCATTGTTACTTTTTTTTAATTTTGAGACAACATCTCACTAAATCACTAAATTGCCCAAGCTGGGCCCGAACTTATGATCTTCCTGCCCCTGTCTCCCAGAGTGCTGGCATTACAGGCTTCGTATGTTAATTTCTAAGAGCCGTATTATCATCACTCCTAGAAATATTAACAGAGCCTTAGTATGCGAGACCTTAGCCAACGCCTCATCAGACTTTACCCTGCTTGTCTCATAACCATATTCATTCCTACAGCTCGCCTAACTGGCATCCTGACACGAGCCACACATCCCCTGGGTTCAGTGCACTGATGAATGGCTTAAACTAGGTGGTTCCTCTTCCCCATTCTCTCCTCACACCGTGTTTATAGAAGGACCCCGGGTCCTAAGTGACATCCTCGAGATGGGAAACCTGTCTGAAACAGATGCCACCTGCCTGGCATCCTGAGAAGGCCACCTCACCCCACTCCTGACAGGCAACTTCCCATAGACGGTTGCTTTAACTCTGGGCCCGTGACGGAGGGAGCAAGCGAACAGGAAGCCTGCGTGCGCTGCGTGAGGTTGGTGATGGCTTTAGCTGGGCCCGTGACGGAGGGAGCAAGCGAACAGGAAGCCTGCGTGCGCTGCGTGAGGTTGGTGCAGGGATCAGGCAGTCCCCGATACACAAGACCCGTCCCACCAGCCGTCTTCACTTCCCACTGAGCAAAGAGCAAGCAGAGCCCTCCCAGCTTTACACCCAGAGCTGTGCTGGGCCTCAGTGGAGGTTAGAGGAAGAAACAGTCTGCAGCCAGCTGGTTTCCACTCTCACCTTTCCTTCAGAATGAACGCCTACTCCCGTCCAGCACCCATAAGACCATATGGCAGGACTGGCCACCCTCTGGGACTGGCTCTTGATGTTCCTCAGGACACAACAGACGATGTGCCCATACTCAGAACTTACCCAGTCCTTGCTTTCCTCAGGATCTTTGCACATGCTACTGCCTCTGCATTGATTATCCTCCACCACTGCACATGCTGATTTTCCATGGGGCTGAAAATGTAGAGGATCAGAGTGGCCCCTTCCTGATCCTTTCCCTGTACCTGTCCACTGTCCCTGCAACTTAGCTCTTTCTGCTTTAAGCTCTTGGGGGACCTTTTATACCTCTTAGAACTTGTGTATTTCCTTCACAGTTGGTCATTCTTCTCTCTTAGGTGAAACATCAACCCCATGAGGATGAGGATAGGACCCTGTGTAGCAAGATACAGCTGGATTCTCTTGTTATTTCCTAAGATAGGCACCCTGGTTGGGGAGGAATGGCCAGTACATCATGGGCGGGCGGATCTTGGGGAGTGCTGTCCATGTGAATGGGGGCTCAAGATGAGCAACTGCTACCTGGGAAAACAGCTTGATGAGGGCCGCCTCCATCCTGCTAGAGGATGGTGGGGAACAGCTCAGCCCTTTCCCAGTCCCAGGTCTGATCATGGCCTGCTATGGCAGACCTCTCTGCCCAGTATCAGCAGGCTCTGGCTAATCACAGGCCAGCCTCAGCACCTTTGATCTCTCAAGCAAGACAAGCAGTGCCTTTCTCCTTTACACCCCTGTTTGTATGTCGGCTGTCTCTGTCTGTTTATCAGCCATCACCAGATGCTTCACATGGTGTTGCTACATGTCTTACCCCTCTTACCTTCCCATGCTTGTAATCTATAAAATACCAGGTGCCCTTAGCAGCCCTTGTCTTTGCTGCCCAGAGCAGTACTGATCGGCTCAAGACCCAGTTCTCTCTAAGTCTTGTTTCTTGTCTTTACTGTTATTCAGTCTGTGTTGTCGTGTCTCACAGGAGACTGTACACGTACTGCTGAAGGAAGACTTACTGCTATAGTAACATCGCCTTCCCCATTCCCTATAGACTGCCCCCCTTCCACCTCGCTACTCACCCTCCAGGCCACCTGCCCTTCACCCTGCAGAACAAAGCACTCCCTTATGGCTTGGAGCTCAGCATGGTGTGCAAGCCACTTGTCTTCCCTGCATCCACGACCTGAGATGTCCAATGGTCCAAGGCCCTCCTTTGCAAGGGGGCCTGAGGATCCCTGCAGGGTGCTGAGCTGAGTGCGGTGCTTAGCATGGTGGTAAGCACTGAACAACACCGTACCTGTGGCTGCCCTGAG